GCCGGGACCTGGCTCATGACAGCCTCGATATGTGCGGCCACCTCCTCGTGACAGACCCCATCCCCCAAACATTGCTCTGGGCTTCTAGAGAGCGCATCTGCCACCGCTAATGTTTTGCCTGGTGCATGTTCAGCCGTGGCATTGAAACGCATTAGTCTCATCAATAGCCTCTGGCACCTAATTGGGACACAGTCTAAGTCTTTACTGTTCATGAGAGGCACCAACGGCTTGTGATCAGTAACCAGTCTAAAGCTGTCCAGTCCATATAGGTATTTGTCAAACCGTTCACAGGACCAAACACTTGCTAAGCACTCCTTCTCTATTTGCGCGTATCTTTTCTCCGCGTCACTTAACCGTCTGGAACAGTAGGCCACAGGCTTCCAGTGATCCCCGTGCTGCTGGAGTAGAACGCCGCCCAGCCCATAGCTGCTGGCATCTGCTGACACTATGGTGGGCTTGTTGGCATCGTAGAAGGTAAGTACTGGAGCTGTGGCTAATGCAGTCTTTAAGCTCCTGAACGCCTCACACTGTGCAGGTCCCCACATCCACTCTTTGTCTCCTTTCAGTAACTCGTACAGTGGGTGGGCAACTGTTGATAGCTCTGGAATGAACTTGGCTAAATAATTAACCATCCCCAAGAACCTTTTGAGTTCTGTGACGTTTTGTGGCTGTGGAAAGTTCCGTATTCCTGTGACTTTGTTGGGGTCGGCTCTGACGCCTGCCTCGTCAATTAGGTGACCCAGGAAACGAACCTGCCTCTGTCTGAACTTGCACTTTGCCTGGTTCAACTTGAGCCCTGCTGCTTCAATGACCCTCAACACCTCAGCCAGGCGTCGGTCATGTTGCTCCTCTGTCTCTGCGTGAATTAAAATGTCATCCATAAAGATCTCAGTCCCTTCTAAGCCGGCCAGAGTCTCCGCCATTTTCCTCTGGAAAATTTCAGGAGCACTTGTTATCCCGAAAGGGAGACGGCGGAAGGCGTATCTCCCAAATGGAGTGATGAAAGTGGTGAGCAACCTGCTCTCCTCATGCAGGGGAATCTGATAAAATCCACTTGCTGCATCCAGCGAGGTGAATACTTTTGACCCGGCGAGCTTTGGCATTATTTCCTCCACCGTTGGCAGAACATACTTCTCCCGTTTCACTGCTTTGTTCAGTTTTCTGAGGTCTGCACAAAGGCGGACTTCCCTTTTGTTGGGTTTGAGTACCGGCACCATCGCGGCACACCATTCTGTTGGCTGTGTTACCTTTTCGATTATGCCCTCCTCCTCCATGCGATGCAGTTCCTTTTTTACCAGCGGTACCAGTGGCAGGGGTATCCGCCTGGCTGTTGGCACTGCGTATGGTTGGACATCATCGAGCAGGGCTATTCTGACTGGCTCAGTTTTCAATAACCCGCTAGATCCAAACACGCTACTGACCTCATTCATCCTTTTGACTAGACCCATTTCCACTGCTTCCTCACGGCCCAGTAAGCAGCTTTTTCCTTCCGTCACATACACTTTCAGAGGGTACTTCCTCCCTTTATAGCTTGTGAAACTCTGGAACATGCCCATGCAACTGAGATCGCCCCCTGGGCTAACAAAACGAGTGACAGGTGGCACGAGCTTTATTTTAGGACTCATCTTTTTGAATGTCCCCTCATCAATAATGGTAGCGTCTGCTCCTGTGTCAATTTTAAAGGTTACACCCACATTGTTTACAGGTAAGCAAACAGTCCATGTATTCTCATTATCCTCCCTGTCAACTGCTCCTAGGAAGTATGTTAGTCCAGGTTGTTCGCTTGTGACTTCTCTCACTGCTTTAGAACGACATTTACGTTCCCAATGTCCTTCCTTGTGACATTTATTACACTTGCTTTTCAACGCGGGACAATTTCTTTCATTAGAGTGTTGTGGCTTACCGCACCTCCCACACTCATCCTTTGTGTTGGTTGCCTGGCTGCTATTCCCACATCGCTGACTCTTTTTCTTATATTGCCAATCCTTCCCTTTGACCGCATTAACGTTGGCCAGCTGAGCTTCCGGTCGACTGGTCTGAAGATTAACCTGCCGCGTTATCGCCTCTGTCTGGCGCACCCGTTCAATCACGTGCGTCAACGTTAGATCTGCTTTGAGCTGAAACTGGCGGGAAAGTTCTTTGTCTGCTATTCCTACCACAAGACGATCCCTTATATGTTCATCCCTTGTAGTCCCGAATTGGCAGTGCTCTGCTAACTCATATAATGTTCTGATGTACATCTCCGCCGTTTCCCCGGATTGCTGGCTCCGTTGATAGAAACATGCACGCTCGTGTATGATGTTGCGTCGTGGAATAAAGTAGTCGTCAAACTTTTTCATGACCACTTCAAAGTCTTTCTTTTCATCTTCCTCGTCAAACTCGAATGAACTGAATATCTTTTCAGCTTCACTGCCCATTGCGTAGATCAGCGAACTTACTTGAATCTCGCCGTCATCTTTGTTTAGCTTCGTGGCCAACCGATAGCGGCGAAATCGCTGTTTCCACTCCGGCCATTCGGTTGGGCTCTCAAACTTAAACTCGCTCGGCGGGCTAAACTTCGCCATGTCTTCTTACTGACACACAGGCTATTCTGACACCATGTAATGTCTGTTGATATTCCTTACAGGCATTTAGGATACTTAGAAGACAACGACAACGCGTGAGTTCTCTCTGTGTCCAGTTTATTCACAGGTTAGCTTAACAACAACAACGGACCAAAACACTTCCCGTATATATCTCTTCTTCGGCCCTCTATGATCCCCGCTAGAACACTGACACCTCTAGGTCACTCCCTGTCATTACAACAACAACAATACATTCAACTTAAATTGTACTTATTATAACTCATTACATGAGCTGTTGTGTAGCATCAGGATTGACCAACATGGCCCAATATGCTGCCCTGCCTACAGTGAAAGATCTCCTTCAAGCACAATCTGACTACAAATGGAGTGTCATGTTTCATGAATAAATGCAGTCAAAAAGAGGCTGTATTCCAAATGTTAAACTTTCTCTCAGGTGTAGTGTTGTTCATTTAAAAAATGAAACCTTACAAGGGATCTTTACAATATTTGAGATTAGTCTGGCGCAGCACTAGCCTGGTTGCCAGCCCGAACTCCGCCCACAACAAGTGCTTCAGACTCAGTTTATTTCACCTGTAGTGTATTTGCTCGTTGTTGCCCGGAACATGTCTGTAATTTTGGAGCATTTCCATGCCTCCTCCTCCATCATTTTTTTCCTTTTGAGTCTGACCTTCTCAGCGCCACCTTTCAGTTTTCTTTTTTGCCTTTCTTCCATCATTACTCAGTACAGTAGTACTAAGTTACTCACTCACACCGACCGTCCGTTAAACTTTCAAAACATGAAGCGGGAAAAGAGGTGTTCGGTGACTTTTTACATCACAGGCCGGCCGACAGGCTATACCATTTAGGGAGGGGCCGCCGCGCTCTGACCCCCTTATGTTTTTGAAAATCCAGGTCCAACATGGTTGGACCTGCCGAACGGGTTGAGCTTCGCAGTGCACACAGTGTTGAGCGGAGACAGAGAGGTTGCACAGTGACAGTTTGACCGGCGGAAGCGGCCGCACATCAGGCCGCCTGCCGCCAGATGGTATTGCTAATAATATAATATCAGACACTAGTATAACTATTATCAGACCGACCGGCCCTCACGGCCTCAAAACAATACCGGCCCACCGGGAAAAGTCCCGACTCTCCCGATTGCCACTACGCTACTGCACACTGCCTCTCAGAACTATACTGCATCTGAGAATGGCACTCCCTCTCAGAACCACACTGCATCCAAGAACTATACTGCCTCTCAGAACCACACTGCATCCAAGAACTATACTGCCTCTCAGAACCACCACACTGCCTCCAAGAACTATACTGCCTCTCAGAACCACACTGCATCCAAGAAATATACTGCCTCTCAGAACCACACTGCCTCCAAGAACTATACTGCCTCTCAGAACCACCACACTGCCTCTGGGAATGACAATGCCACTGGGAACAACACTGCCTCACAGAAATATACTGCCTCCAAGAACTATTACTGCCTCTCAGAACCACACTGCCTCCAAGAAGGCAGAACAGGAACATTGCAATAATAGCCTCCTCCATGCTGGTTTGTTGTTGTTGTATTGGCCGTGCTACATCTAGTGATAAAGACGCCGTGCTTGCGTTACCCCTCCTACCAGTTCCTATGGCCACTTGGCCAGTGCGAACGCAAGCAGCAAAACTGAGTTTGGGGGAGAGTAGTTCTTAGAACTGTTTAGAAGTGGACAGTTCCTATAACTAAGTTCCTGTAACTACTTGGTCGGAAAGCGGCTAGAACCACACTGCCTCCAATAACTATACTGCCTCTCATAAAAAATAAAAATAAAAAAAACGTATAAATCACTCATTATACCATATTTTCACTATTAGGACTGGTTTTTATATTTTGATTTGCCTCTGAATAATAGGCCTCATTTATTTGGGAGTAGGTATTTATTGTTTGTTTGTTTTGTTTTTTTGAATAATTTTGGAAATATTAAATAAAATCTAAAGAAAATTGGTATTGTTGATCACACTAGTCAACTTAACATTTTCACCAGGAATTTTGTTTTGAAACTTTTGTTTTGTAAAAAATATGGCACATAGTCACACTTGTGGTGTTCCTGGTCAAAAATGACCGGCCTATGTGGCGGCTGCTCATGGGAGCGATGAGAGTCAACTGGTTCCAGTGGACTCTCATCACTACCATGAGCAGCCGCCGCAGTGTTGTTGGTGTGATTGCTTATGCAGACCTAGTGTATGCTGTGAGTATTAAACTCACACACACACACACACACACACATCAGGGTTTAGCTTTAATTAACTATAATAACCATAACACAAATACAGAAATATGGATCAATCACAGTTTAAAGGTTGCACTTAAGTAAATACATGCATGGTTGTGCAATGTGCATATACAAACGCACAGAATAGATAAATAAAAAGTGTATTTATTTAAAGGTTGGTGGTTTTGATGGAACCAGTTATTTGCGGAGTACAGAGGTCTACAATCCGCTGACAAACAATTGGCATGCCGTGGCATCAATGTACAATCCAAGCAGCAACTTTGGCATTGAGGTGAGATGTGGTCAGTTAATATCTGTCTCTGGTGAAACTATGAAATAACTTACTTTACAAAAATGATTTGATGATAATGAATATGGGGGAAAATGTATTTGGTCCCATATTGACAATAATTGCACCCTAAAATTGTCTTAAAAGTCAACGATCAAAGTCTTCAAATATCAATGTGTGTCAAAACATTCTAATGATATTTAAAGGGATACTCCACTTTTTTTTGGAAATAGGCTCATTTTACAACTCCCCAGAGTTAAACAGTTGAGTTTAACCGTTTTCAAATTGATTCAGCCGATTTTATGATATTTAAAAGAATATCAGTAACCAGACAGTTTCTGGTCTCATTGACTTCCACAGTATTTTTTTCCTACTATGGAACTACTACTACTACTACTATTTTTTTCCTACTATGAGTATCCCTTGAAGTATCGCTTGTAAATGAAGCGTTGCATCTATAATGAGATTTATTAATGTAAATTTAAAGACTTAAGCTGTACATTATGTATTTTCCTTTTTAACTTCCTCAAAATCCAGGTAGTTAATGGTCGGTTGTTTGCTGTCGGAGGGTTAATAAGCCCTCTGGAATAAGCACCACCTGTGATGTGGAGTGCTATGATAAGATGACAGATGAATGGTAACTTCCTCAAATACTAAATCTCACAGATCATTTCACTGCAGATATCTAAGTCTAATGCAGGCTATATTCCATTGCATTCCTTGCATCTGTTTTCTATACAGGTTTGTTGCAGATGAAATGGCCAATTTACGCAGTGGTCTGAGTGTAACTGGTCCGCTCGCTGACTGCTGTTGCGCTTCTCAGTCTCTCTGCGTTGTGTATTATAGGACCAGGACACGTATTGTAGTTCACCAACATGGGGGTTTATTCAGTCACGTTCAGCATGGATTTCGCAGCATCTGAAGTTCAACATCACAAAGATGACAAAAATCACATGAGGGCATCTCATAGCTTTCACCTCTCCCCAGCGAGTTCAATGCAAACTCATTTTGTTACAATTAAAGTTAATGAACATACAAATAATATTAAAGCATAACATATTAACACAATACAAGAATGTAAAATGCAATAAAAGTGGAATACCTGAAGTTCAACATCACAAAGATGACAAAAATCCCATGAGGGCATCTCATTGCTTTCACCTGCATGATACAACACCAATCAGTTGACTCAAAACCGTGCTAATACACGCAAAACTCATGCAATATAAGGCCCACGCGATTAATCTTCAGATTATTAATCCACTCATGCATGTAACATACAACAAAACACACCATGCAATTCCTGCATTGATTACAAACGGGTATTAAACCAATTTATACACTTTGCAAACTTATTTTGCTCATAATTTCAAGAGCTCTGCAAAACGCTTACCTCTCCCCAGCGCGTTCAATACAAACTGGCAAGTAGTGATGTGTCGTTCATGAACGATTCGTTCATTTTGAACGAATCTTTAATATGACTCGGGACTATCGAGTTGTCTCAGGGAGTGATTCGTTCATCTTGTGTTACCCGCGCATGCGCATTGCGCAACATATGGATTCTGAATCTGTACTGGAAACAGAAATGATTAGTTCATCTCTCGAGTCTCGAGTCCGAGTCTTTCGTTCTTCCTGTCAGTCCCGGAAAGAGAAATGATTAGTTCATCTCTCGAGTTCGGGTTCGGGGGGTCCGAGTCTTTCGTTCTTCCTGTCAGTCCCATTGAGCCTATGCTGTCAGACCACCGGAAAGAGGAATGATTAGTTCATTTGAGTCTTCGGGTTTGAGTCCTTCGTTCTTTACGTGAATTGTCACCGTATTGAATACCCAAATTCACAAACTTTTTACAAACTAATTCACAAACCTTTTACAAACAAGCACGTAGATGATGTATAATATAATAGTAGTTATTTAATGTACAATATATAATAAAACACACCACAGATGCATAATATAGAAAAGAGACGGACAGGGACAATAATAAGGAATAAGGAATAATGGACGTTTGTAATGTTTATTGAACATTTGTATTTTAATGCCTATATAACACAATATTCAGACGCAGTCAATAATACGAATCTATGTTGTATTTGATGCGAGATCAGTGGCCACGTGAGAAAAGAGCGACGGACTCAAACCCGAAGACTCAAATGAACTAATCATTCCCCTTTCCGGTACTGAAAGCATAGACTTAATGGGACTGACCGGAAGAACGAAAGACTCGGACCCGCCGAACCCGAACTCGAGAGATGAACTAATCATTTCTCTTTCCGGTACTGAAAGCATAGACTCTATGGGACTGACAGGAAGAACGAAAGACTCGGACCCGGCCGAACCCGAACTCGAGAGATGAACTAATCTTTAATCTTTCCGGTCCTGCTATATCGCATGGCACGGCCAGCAGACAGCACAGATCAGAGTCAGACACTGACGAGTCAACAGCTAACGTCTCGAGACATGAGAGGAGGAGAACAAACCTGATAAATATGAAGTTGCAAAGCAAAGAACGTCTCGGATCAGGAGGTGAGGTGAACTATAACAGGGTCAGACTGCATAGCCTGAACTTGAGACCCAGCAACTAATTAATAGCTAACGTTACAGTTATTTCAGTTGCTTTTGGCTTTGGCTGCATTACCCTATTATGTTATTTTTACAAATGTAAGATTTTCGTAAGTACTAGATGTATGGGATATTTAACATGACATTTTAATTATATAATTATGAAATGACCGAAATGAACGAAATGACTCGATAAAAGATTCGTTCATTTTACTGAACGAGACTCAAAGATCCGAATCAGTAAAATGATCCGAACTTCCCATCACTACTGGCAAGAGGCGCGCACACACTCTAAAATGGCACCAACGCGGCGGCAAGAAAAAATGTCAAAATAAAGGTCCCTTAAAGAGTGAATATAAAAATCGGCATATTTAGCAAAAAAAAAAAAAAAAACAGTAACAAATATATCAGTAATAAAATAAGGATTTTTGGGAAACAACAACAATACATTCAACTTAAATTGTACTTATTATAACTCATTACATGAGCTGTTGTGTAGCATCAGGATTGACCAACATGGCCCAATATGCTGCCCTGCCTACAGTGAATGATCTCCTTCAAGCACAATCTGACTACAAATGGAGTGTCATGTTTCATGAATAAATGCAGTCAAAAAGAGGCTGTATTCCAAATGTTAAACTTTCTCTCAGGTGTAGTGTTGTTCATTTAAAAAATGAAACCTTACAAGGGATCTTTACAATATTTGAGATTAGTCTGGCGCAGCACTAGCCTGGTTGCCAGCCCGAACTCCGCCCACAACAAGTGCTTCAGACTCAGTTTATTTCACCTGTAGTGTATTTGCTCGTTGTTGCCCGGAACATGTCTGTAATTTTGGAGCATTTCCATGCCTCCTCCTCCATCATTTTTTTTCTTTTGAGTCTGACCTTCTCAGTGCCACTTTTCATTTTTCTTTTTTGCCTTTCTTCCATCATTACTCAGTACAGTAGTACTAAGTTACTCACTCACGTCCGTTAAACTTTCAAAACATGAAGCGGGAAAAGAGGTGTTCGGTGACTTTTTACATCACAGCAGGGGCGATTCTAGGATTTTTTCAACTGGGGGGCACAAGAGGGGCCACAATTATTACAGAGGGGCCATTCTTATGTTGTGTATTTATGTAGAACTATAGATATCCAAATCACTTCAAGTTCAGTAAGCTTTAAAATCAGCAATAAACAGTGATACCCTGTTATCTTTTAATAGCAGTTATTTACTGCTCTAAATCAAAACAATAAAATACAATTTATATTAACTTTTCACTTTACAAAAGTGATAGAAAAACTGTAATAAATAAAATAATCCAATGTATTAGTGTCCAACTCACAAATAATAATAGAACAGCCTTATTTATATAAATGCATAATTATATTAATCATTCATATAATAAATACACAATTAATGAATTCATAAAACTGTAATAAAATTGTATATATCTTTTTCCCCACATCCTATTCAATTTGCATTTCAGCAGTTGCAGTAAATTTGCATTGATGAATAGACCAAATCTGCTTATTTCGAGGAAGGCTAATGAAGAAATGAGTTGGCTGATGACAGCTCAATCACATTTATTTATATTGCCAGTTAAGTTGAAAACCCGCCACAGGGTGTCTGGTAAGGGACTGGTCAGTAGATGTCCGATATTTGGGAATAACCAGTTTATTTGTCACCACATCAACTCAGATTATAAAGCAGTTGTCCTTATCAAGGTGTTTAAGTAGGTGTGTGGTTTTTCTATAAAACAGAAAATGTAGCCAAATGTAAACATACATGATAATAACATTAAATGTTTTAAATGGATACATGCTGAGTATGAACAAATACAGAAATAAAATTAATAAAGAAAGAGAAACAACTTGCTATGTCATATATGAAATTAAACTCTAAACAGTTTTATCTGCGTCACACAATTGGTCAGCGGTGCTCTGTCTGGGCTTGTTTCATGCACACGCATTTGTTTATACCTCAAACGCAGTCTTTGATAATTGAAATGCACCAAACACTGATGAAATATACATAAATGACATCCATATAAATGACTAAGCAGATATATAACATCTTATAAATAGCGCAACATCATTCCAAAGACGTGAAAATTATTATAATTAACCTCGACGAGCCAATGCCCGTTATAACGACAAACTGAATATTAAACAGGTCTAGGATTGCACATTGCTAGAGATCAAATATAACACACTTACTTGCATTGACGCACAACACCCATGAAATGAACAAACTAAATGTTATTTACAACAGCAGAGATTAGCTTCAGCGCTCCGACAGAATCAACTCTCAACTTCACACTGCGCACTGTGGGCGGGGTGTTCGCATGCACGTAGTTCTGCGGACGCTGATAGGCTGCTATGCTGTACGCTGTGCGTCAATCAATCTCGGAAAAGAAAAAAGATTTAAGTCAGAAAACATATTACTAGTAATGGCCTTTTTAACAGCCGCCCCCAGATTCGATAAAGCGAATCTGTGCAATTAAGAAAGGCCTCCAAGTAACAGATTGTTTTACAGTTATTCAGGAATGCTAGGCAATTGTACAATACGTGCTACTGGGCGTGTGTATGTCTTTGCGCCCACCTTAACATTAGCCGTCCTCACCCTGCCATCCGCCCCAGGGAAGACTTCAGACACTCGCCCCACCGGCCAAAGAGCTCGAGGCAACTGTGGGTCAACTATCATCACTGTGGTGCCAACTTGAATATTGGATGCATCACCTTGCCACTTCTGACGGCTTTGAAGACCAGGGAGGTAAAACCTTAGAAAGTGTCTCCAGAAGTGGTCTACAAGAACTTGACTGTGACGCCATCGCCGCCTGCTTAACAGCTCTGACTCTGGGTATACCACTGGAGGTAGGGAGGAATCCGGCCGCCCCATCAAGAGAGAGTTTGGAGTGATGGGGTCTGGATCAGCAATGTCAGAGGATGTATAACCCAAGGGTTTAGAGTTTAGAATCCCTTCAATCTCTACCAACACTGTCTCTAACACTTCAAAGGTCACTGATTGGGCTCCGATAGTGGCTGTCATTGCTTGCTTAAGCGAGCGAATTTCTCGTTCCCAGCAACCTCCGAAGTGAGGAGCATTCGGAGGGTTGAATTGGAATTCGATCTGGTGTCTGGCAAGCTGTCCCTGAAGTTCAGGGGCAAGGGCTGCAAATGTTTCTCTGAGTTCCCTTTCTCCTCCCTTGAAATTGGTGCCTTGATCGGATATGAGTTCGAATGGGGTTCCACGTCTGGCAGTAAAGCGTCGAAGGGCCATGAGGAAGGAGTCAGTATCAAGATTATGTAGTATATCAATGTACACTGCTCGAGTGGTTAAGCACTTGAAAATGATACCCCATTTCTTTTCAGTCCTCCTACCAACCTTGACAGCATAAGGGCCAAAACAGTCCATACCCGTAGAATAGAATGCAGGTCGATAAAATCGTAGTCTGGCTGGAGGGAGGTCTGCCATTTTGGGAATTTCTGGATTCTTTCTCAATTTCTGGCACTCTACACATGTTCGTTGGTACCGCTTAACAGCTTCCCTACCGCGGAGAATCCAGTACCTGCGGCGGAGTTCAGCAAAGACTCGCTCACACCCTGGGTGGTGGAGTTTGGCGTCATAACTTTGTATGATGAGCTGTGTGATTGTGTGCTTCGGATCAAGAACGATTGGGTGAATGGCATCTCGCTCAAGATGGAGGCTGTGACGTAGGCGACCTCCAACTCGAATTAGTTGGGTCTCACTGTCAAGTTCAGGTGCTAAGGCTTTTAAGCGGCTGTTATGAGTTAGAGGTTTACCAGTCCTTAATTGTTCAAGGTCTAAGGGGAAAGAATCCTGTTGGGCCTGTTGTAAAAGAGTGATTTCAGCA